GGGGGGGGGGGGGGGGGGGGGGGGGCGATCATCCGCACGATTTTGTGCGCGGGCGGTGTTGGAGGAGAGAAAAGCGTTTTTCTGTGGATGGATTGGCGAGAGGAAATCCCGGGCGATAGGCGGGGCTGGCGGTGGTGTGCTTTGTGCTTGTGCGTGTGCGTTTTGTTGTATCGCGTGATCTTGTTGCTGTGTCATATCTCACCGTGCTGGCTGCGAGAAAAAAAACGAGGACAACAGTCGGTGGGTGTTGTTCTTGTTATTTTTTGGCGTAACCCAGTCTTGTCCCCCAGAACGAGCTACGTTGCTGACTGGTTTCGTTGCGCCCCCGTCCTGGTTGTTTGTTGCTACTTTACCGCTTATTTCGTCTTTTTTATTTTGTTGGAAGTTGTTGCCCGTGATACCCTTTTGGTTGTTTCCCTACAGGTACATGAAGAGAAAACATGCACCTTACCTCGCCTTGTGAGGAAAGCCAACGCTGACACGCTGAAGAAAAGCAGGGTGCCGTGTAAACAACCAACTCGGCCGTCTCTGTGGGGGGTCGGTGTTCTGTGGGAGAGGGAGGATATAACCTGGGTGTTTGGGGGGCGTTGTTTTCGACTTTTTCCGGGTGGTCTTACGAGCTCTCGGGCGCTATCAGTTGAATCGACCGCTCGGTCGAGAACGTAGCAGCAGATGAGATGGACAATAGGGAAGCTTCCATCCACCCCCCTGTCCCCTCTTGAGCTAGCTCTGTCCGGCGTTCTGGTGCTTCTGTCTTTTGACTGTCTTGTCTTGCACGTCGTTCCGTCCAGCCATTCTGTCTGTCTTGTCTGTCTGTCCGTGCGTATGTCTTGTCTGTCTTGTCTGGTTCTGTCTTCTTGTGTGTGTTTTGTCTAATACCATCTTGTTTTGTCTGTCTGTCGTGTTGGTGCTGCTCGAAGGAGGTGGGTGTCATCAGGTTCCACACACACACACACACGCACGCACGCACGCACGCACGCGCGTTTGTACGGAACCGGGAGGTTGTTCAGTTGGGGGAGCCATATCAAAAGATGAAGGAAATACGCGAGCAACGGGCGGGCAGAGGAGGCGGGAGGGAAGGTTTTCGTTTGCTCCTTTTTGGTTTAAGTTGTATGCATATCGTGGCTTGTTTTTCTCGGATAATGTACCATAATATAGTTCACAAAGGGCGCTCAACTTGTGGAGGCGCTGGCCCCAGGTATTTTCCGTTTGCCTTGGTTTTTCTCATCATGATCTCATGATTGCAATCTTGGA